GTTCGATATGCCGTTGACTCGAAAGGCGTTTATCTTCCACGCCTTCTCCAACATTTATGAAGTCCCTCATCCTAATCCTGAGGTTGATAGGGAGTTAATCGAATTTTATCTGAAGGCTGCTCAACCACAGTACCAAACATGGAGCGCTCAGAAGATCGTTAACGTTCGGGTTTTAAAGCCGTATACCGAAGGGAGATTCATCAACGTTCGGTTCAGGGTGATCAGAGGGTCTGCAAGAACTGAACATCTTATATCCTTAGCAGATCTACTGAACCTCAACCCTCATGATTGAATTGTTTTGCATAACATCCTTTTGACGAATGAAGTTGAATATGGTCCAATTATAGACCATCTCAAAAGGATGATAGTTTGTTACGTCATGGAGGTCGCCTTGATGGACCAGGAGATAGCCACTGTCTTCAAGAAGAAACCGAAGATAGCTCCTGTTGGATCGGCTAGTGATCTCAATCAAATGAAGATGGGCAAGATTGACCCGAAGCGCAATTCGGTCATGTTCACTAGAGCAGAAGGACATAAATGTCTCTTTGCTTTAGCGGATAAACATCTTTACACCAATGCTTGTCTTGAGCATGTACTGTCGATCATCCGTCGGTGTAAAGAGAATGCAGCAGACGATGTCAAATACTTCAACGATATGATCCAATGGTACATCAGATTCAGACAGACGATACTTGCTCTTATCTCTCGTCTGTTTCAGACTGTGAAGAAGAAGGTACCTGCCGCTGCTGCTGGCCCAAGTAACAAGTAAAGATCTCGCTCCAATTGACGCAAAGGGGGAGATTGTTGGGTTGAAGATTCGTTTAAGTGTTGCGTAATTGGACTCGGCTATTAGTCCAATTGTTTTGTGCTCCGGTTTGGGCCTGTCCAACCGTGAGCTTGTTAGGTTTACTATATAAGTATATGCTTGCATGCATATTAGGTTAACGTTTTAGAGAATTACGATTGCATAGTTCTTTCTTCTTCGTTCCTGTAAACCTTCTAATCCTCTACAGTTGATGTTCTTGATCGAGCTCTTCTGAGGGTTATTTTATAATCATTCGACACGTTTGATTCATTCTTTAGTTGTTCATTATTTTCGTGTTTTTGTTGTTTAATCTTTATTTACCTGTTTAAGATCTAATCGATCTTCTAGATTAAGTTTTAATCTCATCAGTTATCAAGTTGATGAAAAATAAAACGAAACAATGAAAAAAAAATAAAAATAGGAAATAATTAAAAAATAATATGAAATAAATTAAAAAGTAATACTAAAAATTATTAAAAAATACGAAAAAACCAAAAAAAAAAAAAAAAAAAAAAAAAGATGAAAATGTAAATGTATTAATATATTATAGTATATTTGTATTTGGTGTTTGAGTTTTTGTTTTTTTGTTTTTTAATTTTTCATTACTTGAATCAAAATAAATATAAAAATTAGAAGAATAATAAATAACTAAATATATATATATATATATATATATATATATATATATATATATATATATATATATATATAAACAAAAAAAAAAGTGAAATAATGATAATGGTAAATTCAAACATAAAGTTGCTAACCATACAACATCAAATTAAAAAAAATAAAAAAATATATCGTAACAACATAAATTTAAAAAAAAAAAAACATTAACGTTTCATTTCATAATTAAGAAAAGAAAAGGTTTGGATATGGTGTATCGAATTTAAGTTTATTTACTTGAATCAAAATAAATAAAAACATTAAAAAACCATAAATAACTAAAATTATAAAATAAAAATAGAAAACAAAATGTTAAAAAGATAAAAAAAAAAAAAATTATCAAGTTGTTGAAAATATATATATATATATATATATATATATATATATATATATATATATATATATATATATATGGAATTTATATTTATAATTTATATATATACAAAATTTCAAACTTATAAAATTACAGAAATGGTCCTTAAGATTTGTAGTGTATTGCAATATTGGTAGAAGGGGAAAATAGTATTTTCCATTAAAATCTAACAGCTTAAAAGTTAGATTTAACGGCAAGAGGATCTTTAATGTAATTTTACAAACCACATGATTAGTCGCGTGACTTTTTGCTAGGAAGTCCTCAAAATGCGATATTCTATAAATCATAGGAACCAATTATGAAATTTTGTCTAATAATAATACATCACCTGTTATTTTAATTAATTAACTACAATTAACGGTTAAATGAATTTACTTATAAGCACTTAGAAAATCGCAAAAGGACTCCGGTAAATTGTTTTTTCTAAGTAGACCAATTAAAAAAATAAAGATAAGCCCATAATGAGACACAATACAGTAAATGACCTAAATTCAAGAACTCAATTCACACTTTAAGATATTACCTTTTTGCTGCTACTGCTTATTATGGTGATTGCACTACATCGACCACCAACATTGTTCTCATTCTCGCCGGAAAACCTCAACAAAAAGAAACAATCACAATTTTTTTGGATTCACAACCCACCGGATGAACTCATATCTCTTATTCTCTTATTACCGCCGATGAATAAAAAAATCAATTAACTTCGTTTCGATTCTCGTTAACTCAATCTTCCTCGCCGGAGACTCCGTCACTAGTGCCGAAGACTAACGCTGGAAAATTAAGTAGGTTACAGCGTAGTTTCAAGCGATATCCGGCGACAAACGTGAAACATCGCCGATTATGTTTTGCTTTAGTAGAGGAATCACTAGATCTGAATCCCTGAGACATAAATACGATGCTACTACGTCACTTAACCTAATCAAAGTCCACGAGACCTTAACTGTATTCCATTGGAAACATTATCTAGAACTCAGATCTGTATACTCATGTTTAACATTGTCCATAGGTCGGTAGTGATTGTCGACGAAAATCTATTTGGAGGTCGGTGCGAAGAATGGAGGTGGAGATGATGAATGTGAAGTCACTGGAAAAGGTAGCGTCGTAGATCTATGATTATAAATCGGAGAAGGTGATGCCGCCGGAAAACGTAGCGTCGTCGGAGTTGGTGGGGTGGACATCGGCGGCGACTGGATGCTGTCGGTGGTAGAAGAATGGAGGAAAGGGAGTTTTTGATCTTTTGAAAATGAAAAAATCTCAGATCTAAAAAGTAGATGTGGATGTATGTTAATGAAAGTGGTATAAGATTAATGTTTATTTACGATCTGCCATTTATTGTTTAAAAAAGATCGACAAAAAGTAATGGTTCTTAGAGTTATTATTTTATTTTGGTTTTCATTTGAACTTTTATCCATATATATATATATATATATAAAAAAAAAGTAATGGTTCTTGGAGTTCTTATTTTATTTTGGTTCTCATTTGATCTCTTTTATATATATATATATATATATATATATATATATATATATATATACTAGCCGTTTACCCACTTCAAGCGATGAGTGAAAATAATTTCTTTCGGAAATTAGTTGTAGAGGCGATTAAGGTTGTAAACGAACCAAATGTTCAACGAATTGTTCATGAACCATTCGACGAAAAATTTGTTTATGTTCATTTATTTAATAAACAAACGAAAATAAACAACCATCTTTCCTGTTCGTTCGATTTGTTACAACTTTAGGTGTGGTCATCATTATATAATTGCATGAATAGTTTACACATGTAATGTGCCAACAACATGTCATTATGTTTCAATAAAAAATTTTCTTTTGAGGATTAAGGTTTAAAGTTTAGGTTTAGTGATTATTGATAATGGTTTAGGGTTTAGAAACTAAGGCTTACGGGTTAGAGTTTAAAACTTAGGGTTCGTGGTTTTAGATGTAGCTTTCAAGTGCAAGAATACAATTTATCTTTTCTTTAATAAATAATAACTATAAAGACTAATGTAAAAAAAAATTAAGTGACGATGATATTGGTTTTAATGTTTTTTTTAATCAGTTTCACTTAATCTTGTAATCAAATAAATGATTACAATTTCAAATATATATGAAGAGTCATCTGAGTGTTCATATTTTATTTGCCAAATTAGATGGAATAGTATTGAATGTTTATATTTCTATTTTTTATTTATTTATTTTTTTAAAATATGATGATACAAAACTAAATGGAGCTATATTTTAAAAATAAAAAAATAACTAATTTTTATTGATTATATTAACATATTTACAATGGGTTTTGAAAGATGGTGACAGTAACCATAATTTTTGAATTTTATTGGTTGCTAGTGTCAAAGAGATTTTCAAGTTGTTTTCCTTCAAAAAAATCTTTAGATTTTTAAATAGAAATTTAAATATTACTTATAATATTCAAAATCTTTAAAATTTTGGTTAGAATTATAATACAAACACTAATATGTTCTTTTAGCATTAGATTGTTATGACATCACCAGATACATACAAAAAACATTAACGTTTTAAAAACTTCTCAAAATTTACACCTAAGCACTCAACACAATACAATTTACTTAAAAATTAAAATACAAACAATACTACTTGTTTAATTACATAGTGTATAAAAGCCAAAAAAAATGTACAAGATTAAGCTAAAAAAACATCACCAAAGCCAATAATGGCAACCATGTAAGACTCTAACACCACTTATAACAAGCTACTTATAGGTACCTAAGGCAGCACCAGGAGATTGATGACCACCATAATCGATTTTCTTGCCAATTTTCCTTTTATGGGGAAAATATGAAGAAAATATGATTTTCTTATAGCCAAAAGTTATTTTCAAGGGAAATTTTTTAAAGTTGTATTGGTAAACATTTTTTTAGAAAACTGTTAAAAATGCAATTTTCTGAAAGTACCATATGCCATTTTTGCCATCTTTTGATTAAAGTTGTTTTTGTTAATTAAATTTTTTTTTCTAGAACTAAAATCTTGCATTAAATAAAAATGTTGACTTTTTAAGTGTTTTTTTAGTTTTGTATGATTTTACCCTTGATGTTGGGAGGTAGTGAATATTGAAGATATTGTTGGAGTTTGCTATTGGGACTTTTGGAAAGCCCATGTTGACGATTTTGCCCCTGCTTGAGTTCTGACTTCCCTTTGATGTCATAAATTTCTTCTTTGCTTCATGTTGTTACTTAAATGCTTAATGCTAGAGATGAAAAACCAATGGTCAAAATTCAAGCCGTGGAATTCAGGCCTAAAAAGTGTGAAAGTGTGAAAATCATATTAAATTCATTGTCATCATTTTCTTGTAAAAAAACACAAAAAGAAAGCTGATAAGTAATACTATTTTTAGAAAGGAATGCACCTAGATGCAAACAGATAGGCAGCTGGACTCCAAGCATATACAAAAACTTGTGAAAAATGAGTAAAAATAGCCAATTAATTATTTCATATGAAACCCAAGAAATTGTAGTGTGAGCAACCGTGTAACTTATTAACCTTTTTACCATTCATATGATCACCTAAACTCTAATCAGTTCATGAGTTCATGTTATGGTATTGCTTCTGCAAGAGATCATGAGTTTCCAATTCCACCCTTTGGATTTCATGATATCTGATATGAAGTCAAACACTACATCAAAAAAAAAAAAAATTAAAGCCAAAAAATGATTAAGAAAAAAAATGAATTTCACCCACAAACACAACCTAAAATGAAACCAATTGAAGCTTGACCAACTAAAAACCCCTTGAAAATTATAATGCTACGGTTAAATCATAACCATTTTTAAGTAGTAATGTAAAACTCCAAATTAAAGAATAATCCATGAACAGAAGAATCAAGTGTAAAAAACCAAAACAAATAAGAAGTATTCATGATTAAAAGTAACATTAGCTTAAAGTTTTCCACCTCACCGGTTAAAGTCTCAATTTTCCAATGGAATCCATCAATTTAAATTTTCTTTAGAAAATTTTGCCCCAGCCCTACATACAAAAGTAAAAATAATAAGTTTAATAGAGATATTAGGGCTTAAAAAAACCCAAATGAAGATGAGAAAAAAAAGAGGATAATTATTGTATTTCTTTGGGTATATACCTTGAATCTGAATATTTCGACAATGACATAAAGGTTTTCAAGTTCAGTCTTGACATCTCTTTTCAGGTCGCCTTTGGGTTTCTCCATCTTGACACTGGTACTCCAAATCACAACAATCGCCTCCTTTAAGAGAGGATTTTGACTGATTAGTATTTGAAAGAGCATATAAAAAGAGCAAGAACATAAAGGTTCCATAGAAACTTACTATGGGTTTAGGAATGAAGGAGTAGAAGCAGTTATGAACGAAAAACCAACTCTGTGAGATTGAGAGTAAAAATATGTTTTCTCGGCGGCCACAACCTAAACGTAAGTTGAGAGAGTAAGCAAAACAATTGAAAGGCATGATAAATTGACCATGTTATGTACCTTAGAAGACTACCATTGAGAAGGAGAAGGAGGTCGGTTCTACAGAAAAGGAGGAAGAGGCGACGATCACTGATGGAGAGAATGGAGGGTTAAATACATAAATCTTATTTGTAGGCAGGCGAGATAAAAGGATTTTTCAAAATTCATTCTGATCCCCAATTTGACCAATTCAATTTTCTATTGGGTAACTTTGACTATCCTTAATTTTCTGTAAAAGTTGTTATTGGGTCAAAACATTGCATAAAGTGATTGTATGTATTGCAATTTGTTTTGTACCTCTTAAAATTCAGCATTTAGACCTAAATGCTTTTATATATATATATATATATATATATATATATATATATATATATATATATATATATATATATATATAGAGAGAGAGAGAGAGAGAGAGAAAGAGAGAGTTAGGTTCAAATGTTTTCACTATCTATTGTGTGCCCGTACGATTGATTCTGGACCAATCATTTTAGTTATTTTAAGAAAGTAATTAATGCATATTAAATGCTGAAGATGTAATTAATACTTATTATATCTTCAACATGTAATATGCATTAATTACTTTCTTAAAATAACTAAAATGATTGGTCCAGAATCAGTCATACGGGCACACAATAGATAGTGAAAACAAAATAACCTAACCCTATATATATATATATATATATATATATATATATATATATATATATATATAAGCATTTAGGTCTAAATGCTGAATTTTAAGAGGTACAAAACAAATTGCAATATATATATATATATATATATATATATATATATATATATATATATATATAGAGAGAGAGAGAGAGAGAGAGAGAGGTTCAAACAAGTATTGTGTGCATGGATGCACCAATCACAATTTAGCAAATAGTTAAATAAAATATTAAATTAATAAATGTATTTTAGACCTTTTATACTTTTAATTAATATGAGCATTTAATTGATTTTCTGTAATTAAGGAAAAGAAAATAAAAATATTTGACCTAGTCTCCTTTATATCATCTAACAAATCTTCTCTTCTTCAACACATTACGCCTCGTTGACTCCTTCAAAGTCCGATCATAGTAGACCCTTTAATCACAACCGATTAATTGTTTGATTGAAGATTAAAATTTATTCAATTTGTCACTTTTTCATAAAATAATCAATTGCCGTTTTGCTTTTTGTGTAGGATTCGAAAACAATTGCAAGTTTTTATTCAATTAACCTCCTTTTGAGGTCTTCAATGTGTAAAGAGGCAGTGCACGAAAGGAGGAGGAAAAAAAATCGCTTTAGGGCCATACACTGGGAATTTTCTTTAGTTTCTTCATTTAAAACAAAAAAAGTGTAATTATAGAACCCTAAACCTAATTAATCATTATTGGTTGAACATGTTATAACTTTATTTGCATGAACTAATAGCTTTTGTTAATTTTGATGTAGAATTGCCATTGAAACTTGATGGTTAAAGATGATGAAACACGTAATTATATATAATCATGACTTTTCTAAGATTGTTAACCTTTATTATCTTCTTTTTTTCATTTTTTTCATGATTTAATTATTTCATAATTAATTAAAATCATGTGTATAAATCTCTACTTTATAGGATTCAACAGGAGCGTTAACAGGGTTGTAGTTAACATGTACTTTTTTCATTTTACTCTCACTTGCATCTGATGAACTATCATCATTAGCATCTAAGTTTGTGGAGAAAATTGTTATTTTTTTGTTGATGCTTGGATTGGGTTTAAAAGAATTTCTGTTGATTCTTGAACAATTTGTAAATGATTTAGTTTTCTGAATGTATAGTTTTGTGATAGTAGTAAAGACTTTTGATGAAAATTTGGGAACTTAACTTATTTGCTTATGCATTGCAGACTGTACCAGTTAATCTGAAACCTTTCTTGAACAACTTGACTGGGGATGAAGGAAAAAAGAAATAGTGTGATGTGGTATGTATTCTGTCAAAACTCTTGATAATACAAATTCTCTAAGAATATTCAAAACCATTATGCAAGAATAGTTTATTCTGTAAGAATATTATTGTTGTATTCTGATAGAATTGTAGTTAATTATTTGTATGTTTAGTGTGCGGTTGTTACAAGTGTATCACTACAAATTACTTGGCAATGAATTTCTGATAGAAATGGCTTGAAGACCTGATGGGAAAGACTTGAAGAATGAATTAAAGAATGATCATACTCAATGTTTAAGAATGTTGTTATTTTTTAAGAATTATACTTGTTATTCTTTCAGAATATTTGTTATTATTCAACGAATCACAATCATACAATGTAATTATTTGGTATATTATTAGTTCAAGAATCGATTTTGTGTATTCTTTCAGAATGTATTCACTAGTTTATGGTTGACATTCTGTTATTTTGACAGAATAAAATTGAAAAATATATTTACTAATTTATAGCTAACATTCTATCATTCTGACAGAATAAAATCGGATTTTTAATTTTGAATTAATTTAAAATATTCAGATTTATAAAAATAAAGGAATTAATTATCCCTAAAAATCTGAAAATTTCCTTTTTTTAATATAGGTTAATTGACTAGAATGTCATTATGCTGAAATTTGTGTGATTATATGGTACATGTTATCATATTCTACTATCATAGACCCTCAAATCATGACCTTTGATTATATTCCATCCAATGGTCCATATCTGTGCATTCTGGCACACAATAGTTACTAGAAACAGAATAACCATATATATATATATATATATATATATATATATATATATATATATATATATATATATATATATATATATATATATATATATATATATACTAAAATATAAGTACAAAATCGCCAGGTGTCACTCTCCCAGCCCCCTAAATCGTGTTTTCCCGCTTCTTTTCTGCAGCTGCATTTACGTAAATTCCCTTTAATTCCTATACACGCAATAAATCCCAAAAAATCTACACCAATTAAAGCATTCTAAAAAATTATAATAATAATTTATAAATGACTTTTCTAATTGTTTAATATGCAAATTATATGCAGATAATATGCAAAAATCGGTGATTCAAATTTCAAATTCGTGATATACGATAAAATATGGAAGTTTGTTTTTTGTAATTGGAAATTGATTAATTACAGTGATTAAATCCCAATAAATCTGCACCAAATTAATGCATACAAAATTTTATACCACTATATCATCTATACGCTTTTGTATTCACGATTCTGCTTCAGAGATTTCTTGGGAAACAGTATTCTTCTTCAGTTCTTCTTCACAATACCTTCTCAGTTTTATCTATTTTAACATAAGTTATTCAATAAATCAAGTTGTTAACATAAGTTCTACAATCCTTCCTGTAGGTACCATGATTAATTTCCTTGATTTTGTGATCATTTACTGCATAATCATCCTCGACGATAACATTTACACAAGGTTAGGAATCTTTAATTTGTACTATATCCTCCTATACAACTTATGTATATCTCTTTTTTTTATAACATCTTTTGGGTTTTCTTTACTCTCCATTCTCCTGTTTCTTCTCTTTATTAATTTGTATGCATATTGGATTTACTTTTTCGTATGTCTATTTAACATATGGATGAAAGTACTGTTCGATGTATTCATCTTCCTCTTTCATCCATTGTTGTTTTAATCGATGTGTATGTGTATGTATCTTTTACGAATAATTTAAAGTATAATTTTATAATAAACTAATCAATTAAACTATATATTCTTTTTTAATTATTTCAATGTTACTGTAAGCTTCGATTCACTACAACTATGATTTTAGTTCAAGTTATTATAAATATGTTACTGTAAATTAAGAATTCACAAATATATACTTTAGATTTATCAATTCAAGTTATTAAGTACCAAGAAACATTCTTTTGTTATTATTATTATTATTATTATTATTATTATTATTATTATTATTATTATTATTATCAATTCTTAGTTTTATATTTATCTTTTACCATATACTTTTATGTTTAACATAACCAAAATTTGAAATATAGTGTAACGACATCATGAAATAACAAAAAATAGATTTTGTAAAATGCATATTTTAAGCTTATTTAAGTCTTTTCCCCTTCGGGCCCATTCATTAAATGTATAAATACACAAAAGGGAACTCTTGAAGATTGAATGTAAATATGTTGGTTTATATATTTATTAACAATTAACACCTTGATTTTATTAAAGAAGTGTCAATGGAGCAATATATTCAATACTTGTTATTTTTTTTTTAAATAAAAAAAACACATCAAAGAACTCAATGGTCATACTAACAACAAAGTTATGCCAAAAAACTTAATTTATTCAAAAGTAGAATGCTATATACATACTATTTCCAAAGTCGGAACAACTATCGGGGACCAAAGATGCAAATCAGTTTATTAATTGAGGAATGTTCCCTTTAATGGTTAAAAAAATAGAAGTACATATATTTAAAAATTTAAATTTCTAAATGACTTTTTTAATTATTTAATATATAGATTGACTGACCTCTCTTTGAGGTGGCTCACCACTGAAAAAGGCCATGACAACTCCAAGTAAGATAGTAATAAAGGCTCAACAAGACCTATTCCAGCCCACAAAAACCATCCTTTTTGAAAATCAAAAGGATTCCTCCGATCTGGAAAATTAATTTTATGAAATGTCAATAAGTTTGTAACAAAAAAAAAAAACAATATGTTTTCAGTTACGAGTTATGACTTATGACTAATAAAGGGATAATTAATTAATTACCATAGCTATACAAGTCTTTTTGTCCACTTCTGTTGGTGACACTATAAAGTGTTGCAAGTAAAAAAGCTATTGTGAAGCTGAAAAAGATAAACAAACAAGACAACCTAATCTAATAATAAGTTAATTCAGCAATGTAATAGTAAAATAAAATTAAAAAGTCATACGTCTGAGTAAAAAAGAGTATTTATGCCTTCTCATCAACATTTCATTCTCCCATTTGAATACCAAGATATGGAAGAGCTGCAGCCCCTACAAGCCCTGACAAAACAAAACTGCATAAAGGAATACAATCAAATCATGTAAAATCTACTCAAAAGGGAAGAAGATCATATAATATACAATTTTACACTCAAAAGCTTCCCTCACACTCAAAAATCTGCATAAGATCTTGTCAAAGGTATTGCTTCAATGATCAATCAAAAGTACACACATATTAGAAACACAAATAATCAGCCATATTAGCAGAAACCCTTCACTTTTATTCAACCAAAACAAACAGCCAAACTATCTCTCCTGTCTCTTTTGTTTTTCTGCTTCGTGAACTGCCAAGCAACACCCCACAAGTTGTTATTTTCTTTTTTCTGTAAAATTGAGGAGGCAGCAGCCTCTTTGCTGTTGATCGAAGCAAGCCAAACACCATCGTAGATAGCTATTCCTGGTGAGCAATACAGGCACACCCTCTTTCTCCGTCACTTTCAGTCGATAAAACCTCCAGCGGAGGTCGGGATTTCCAGCCAAACCACGAGGCAACATTTCTTCTCCTTCGCACCACACTAACAGGAGTAGAAGAAGAGCAGCCTCAGTGTTTCGTCCTTACCCCTTCCGTTTACTACTGCTGACGAAGAGAGCAACCACAAGGAGGTCGCGGTATTTCGACTTCTCCCTATTTGCGATAGATAACCACCACCGACCCACTTCATACCTTCAATCGTATTTCTTCTTCTCGGACCAACTGAGGACCGAAGACCTTTTCCTCTCTCTCTCTCTCTCTCTCTCTCTCTCTCTCTCTCTCTCTCTCTCTCTACCCACCTTCCCCCATCCTCCTTCGCATCTTACTGCAAGAGCAAAAAAGAAGTAGGCTCGCTGCTTCTTCCCTTTTTTGCAGACAATTCGAACATCGGAGGTGCTCACATCCTCAAACCTTCACCCACCAAGAATCGACAGCAGCTTCCTGCTTCGTTCTTCTTCTTCCTTCGGTCCAGCGAAATCCCAGAGATCCTCCCCTACTTCTTTTCCCGATCGAAGGCCATCGGAACCCTTTCTTCGATCGGTTGTTTCTTTTTCTCAAATTGAAGAAAACGGAGACCTGACCCCTTTTCCCCCAATTTCAAATTTTGGTCTAATCGACCAATTAAGCCCCTCCACTTTATGAATTTGACCAAAACAGACCCCATGGAAATTATTGACAAAATAAGCTCAAATCTCAAACATTGATTCTTTTAAACCATGTTAGCTCCTCCTTTGGAATTAGATTACAAAATCATTTTTTACTTTGTTTTATATGTTTTCTAACAATATCATTTTTTACAATTTTAATTTTATGTCGTTTTACATGTGCTTTCACATGTAAATGTTTGATATTAGAATAATATTCATTTTTTAAAATTTAATATTATGGTTAATGGAATATAAATGAGATTCTTACATAATTGTTAATTACAATCTTTATATGATGTAATAACAATATTTCAATAATATATTTACTTTTACATATCACTATTTTCAACATATTTCATTATATACTTTTAAACATAACTTACACATTCATAAACATTATATTTTTTTATTATTTAATATGTATACCTTTTTTGAAATATTATATTAATTGTATAAAAAATAAGAACATTGATATATGTGAAACTAATGTGCCATAGTATAAAGTTTAATAAAAATATTTCAATGACATATTATATACTAGCAAATTGTAGGTTTATATTTTATTTCTTTGTAATTTAATCATAATTTGTCATTACGTCAAAAAGGTTACATTTTACCCCTTTATTCAACATATACATATTATATATGAATTACTTATTGTGTACTGTTAGGCATGTTATTTTATTAACTAAATCGAGTTATCTGTTAACGTTGCAGAAATACAATTTATTCAATTTCTTCTAAAAAGACTAGAAAATTAAATAGTTTCCTTTTAGATAATACAAATAATATTAAATTGGATACTACATCAACACATCTATCTGCAACAACTAAAACCGTTGATACTTCGACAAATTTTTTGTCCGCTGCAAATAAATATTGCTCGACACTGGTTACCGATACTTACAAAGGTATGCTTATTTCTTCAATTTTATTATAAAAAAACATATTTTTTTACCTCCTTATACATTTTATAGCCTATCCTATTATCGTTTATGCAGAAAACAACAATAACATGTACCACTTTCAAGCCAGAGATAAAAAAGACAAAAAAAATTATATTTGCAAAATAAAATATCGAAGAAATTAAATACAAGATCCAACGTTCCAAGTACATTAATACTGCATATTTTAAAAAACATCGATATCTGTGAATTTTTATTTTATATTCCATATTTTATGATTACTTTACATTTATATACAATACATGATTAGTTAAACTTTTTATTAGCCTGCATTACTAGATTATTTTACCTCATTACACACATGGGTAAGACATCGTCTTCGTATGTTAATTTCATTACACACATGGGTAATGCATCATCTCCGTATGTTCAATGAGAATCATATACCAAAAATCAAGGTTTTAAAATTCTCCATTTGTAATTAAATCCTTACCATTTAATGTGTAATTAAACATGTACAAATCACAAAGTTATTAAAATATGCAATATTACAATTCATAAGTTTTCTAAATTAATTAAATATTATTTTATTACATAATTAATTTTTAAATTCAATTTAAAATTTACATCCGTGGGTTCCACAGGTTTTAACCTAATATATATATATATATATATATATATATATATATATATATATATATATATATATATATATATATATATATATATATATATATATATATATATATATAGACTTAGGTTATTATGTTTAAACAAAGTATTGTGTTATCGTATGCATAATTGTGGGCCAATAATTTTATTTATTTTTGGATAGTGAATAATACATATTATTAAATTAAATATAATTAAAAAATACATTCTAATTTCATTCTAAGGGTATTTTAGTCAATTAACATAAATTTAAAAAAGGAAAATTGCATATTTTAAGGAAAATAGATTCTATTAATTTAAAAAATTTGATTGTATATATGATAATTCTCCTAATTCGAAAATTCTGACGAAATATTTTTATCAACATATTAAAAAATAATAAATATGATTAAATCATACAAGAATACACATTCTGACATAATATATATTTTGATTTAATAAACTTCTTGAAGAATAACAAAATTTTGGATACAATTAAAAAAAATTTCATTACATTCTTAGAAAAAGAAAAATCAAAATTATATACTATTCTATGATAATGTTTACACTTATTAATAATAAAAAAACACAATATATAAATCATTCTTCCAGAATATACTATTACATTTATTTTTTTTCATTATATTATATACTATTCTGGTAGAATAATCCATTGTTTTTGGAAGATTGGTGGTCATTGCTCATCTTCATCCCATACAATGTTCATATTCACAATTCTATTCTGGCAGAATCAGAATTCAAGATTTCATTCCAGTAGAATGTTGTAAGCTTCATATGTACCATATTTTGTTTTGATATCTCTCGTTTTGTACCTACAAAAATAATAGTATTCAACACTTGATCATTAAAAATAATGGTAATCAACACTAATAAAACAATATAACAAATGTAAATTAATTTTCAACTTTTTTTAAAAAAGTGAAGGAAGATAATTGTTCACTTTGTTGCATCCCCCCTATTCTGAAGCTTGATGATCACTGCATTATTTACAAAAAGTAACAATAAGAAAAAAAATGTCCAGAATCACATTCCATTCCGTTGTAATGCTCAATTCCATTCCCTCGTTGATTACTGCATACCAAAGGATTACATACTTGTAAATATATTTTGCGGTCAACTTCAAATCATAGTTATGTATGAATTCTTTTTTTTTTTTTTTCATGTTGCAATCCAAAATATAGGTGGTGAAAAGAATTATAAATCTTGCCAAAGATCAGATATGGGGATCAAGGAACTTTCTTAACTATAAACTGAAAGGGTCTTGTAATACTTACATTTGCAGGATTCATTGAAGGACCTGTGTAGCTTGAACCAACAAGAATCACCACCATAGTTGCCATGGAAAGCATCCAATTCTTCAAGAACAAGCTGTTAGGACCCTTGATGATGATCAAGAGAACAACATAGTGATAACGAAAGTCAAAACTCCCTCAACAATGGCTCCAGTATGCAAATCTACTTTTAGAGTAGGTCCTTCTAGCAGATGTTTGTACTTTAATGGCGTCAACTCCAAAAGAGACATCACACCACCAGCTGCACCAATCGCCTGTCAACAATTCAGAAACCAAACACTATTTTTACATGTTTAACACCAACAATCAACAAATACTGATCCAATTATGCACTATTCATAGTTGAATGTAACGATTTGTTTTCGGAATTTCAACTATAACCTAACAATTTGGGGAATTGGAAACCCTTAATTCGACAAAAATCACGACTATGAAAAGTAATTTTTTGTTAAATTACCTGAGCAGGAAAGCGGACGACGGTGGACATGAGTGTATTGTCGTCGCCACCGGCACCGGCAATACTAAACACAATTGTACCGATCGCATTGAAGCTAGCGCCACCGAAGGCATCGACAATCAATCCAAACACGATGGAAGCTAGCCCTCCGGCACCCATCGAAAGAAGAACAGAAGAGAAGATAGAGAGAAGACTGAAGGTTTGTTGCCGCCTCTTCGAAGTCATCCAACACCGGTAATTGAATGAGGCGGTAATCGATGAAGGTGTATATAAGAAAAGAAATTAGGTAGAACTGAATGCTAGCGTGATTACAGGGACTATTTGTGGAAGCTATTAATCAAAGTACTAAAATACTCTTGTTTATTTATTTAATTTTAATAGGCCCACAGTTATGCATACGATAACAAAATACTTGGTGTATATATATATATATATATATATATATATATATATATATATATATATATATATATATATATATATATATATATCATACATACTTATAAAGCTAGCATTTTTTCTTGAATCTCATGTATTTGAAACTCCCATGGCTTTTCAATTTCTTTCTAATAATGATTATAATTTTGTTAATAAGATTAAATAAATATTAAACCTAAAGTATAATTATATATAAACTAAATTTTAATATTAAAAGAATATATTTACTTCTACTTATAAAGTTATTTTTTTTGAACTTTTAACATATTATACTTAATTTATTAGTTTTAATATATTGTTGGATATAAGCCATTATCATTTTAAAGCTACAACTTTTGAACAATTTGTATAAAATACTTAAATTAAAAATTTACATATAAAATTACAGGATTAACTTAAATATAAATTTTAGTTTAACTTAAACAACCCAATGAATATTTTGTAAATAATTAAAAGTGATAAATTATAGTATCTTTCTAATAATAATTATACGTTGGTTAATAAGGTTAAATAAATATCAAACCTAAAGTATAATCATAAATAAACTAAATCTCAATATTAAAATAATATATTTACTTCTACTTATAAAGTAATGTCTTTAACTTTTAAAATATTATACTTAATTTATTAGATTTAATATGTTGTTGTATATAAACTATTAACAATTTAAACCTACAACTTTTGAACAGTTTAGACAAATTATTTAAATTGTTAATTTAAATATAACATTATCCTGTCAATTTAAATTTAAATTTCAGTTCCACTTAAAAAACTCAATGAATATTTTGTGAATAGTTTAAAGTGATAAATTGTAGTGCTAAATGCAAAAACTAAATTACAGTATAAATTTAACTAAAATATTTTCTAAATATATTTGTATAATCGTTAAAAGTTTTCAAATAAGTAACTTAAAATAATTTACAATAACAATAGTTAAAAATAACTTTATATAAATGATTATATTGTTACCTATAAAATAAAAAAAACAATGTTTGATGTTTTAAATAATTATAATGATAGAAATTAAAACGTTAAACAAATAAATTAAAAATAATTAATTAACAATAACAACAACTATAAATAATATTAAACCATATATTATATTTAATTTTATTCATGAGTAACTACCGGGTAGAAATCATTCAAACGGCTGAAATTATGCAGTTATAATAGATGTATATATTATCATATAATTCAAAATAATCAATATATTATATCAATTTAGTATACGAATTATTATATCAAATTTAATAACAATGTTATGGTTATATTTTAAAAAAAACATATATTTATAAAGATTTCAACTATATAGTTGTTCCTGCGTAACGCGCGGACATTCGCCTAGTATATATATATATATATATATTTTTTTTTTTGCATAACTGGGTTTATTCCGGTTTTGCTTTGTAAAAGTAGGGCACTTTACGATCCATTTGCAAATCTAGGCCTATGGTCCCACTCAATCACCAACATTTACGTTTATCATTTCAAATATTTACGCTTAAGGCCCTTAAACTATCATAATATATTAAATGGATATCCTTTTATTTTTAATACTTTTTAGCTTTTATTGATATTTTTTTCATATTTTAAATTTATATGTGAGACCCTTAAACTATATTATTATTAATAGATTATATTTATATTCTTTGTTATATTTTATTCATATTTTATCTTTATTATTCTTTAATATTTTATCTATAAACCTATTTCTTTAAAATGTTTACTTTGTTCATTAGTGTCTTTAATTCAATATTGATACTTCATATTACTATATATTACTATAAGTGTATAAATTATAAACAAATAGATGATTTTAGGGATTACCACTTAAAGCAAAAATAATATTATGCCTTTAATCAGTTTTTGTTTATCTATGAAAGGATATGAAATCAAAAACAATTAATGCTGTTTAAAATAGGTTATTATGATTTTATATAGCATCCATGATTTAATCAATTTTTTTATTTATAAATTTAAATCCAAGCTTGTCTTAATATTTTGTTTTTTTACGAACTCGTTTTTAAATATCTTTTAAAAAATCATTTTCTCAAATTCTTTTTTTTTTATAACTATTTTGGAAGCACGATTGTTATATTTAAAAAAAATCATAATATTGTAAAACCGTTATAAAAATATGATAAAATGTGTGAATATGTGGAGTTAAATAATTTTTCTACAAATTTTTTTTAAGTCTTTAAAAAAAATTAAAAAAATAACGTGATTTCTGAGCTAGTAGATTTACATTTTTTATTTAATTTTATTTTTTTATTTTCTTTTAAATATTTTGAAAAACAACTCATTAAAAATTTATTTAATTCCACTAGTTCATAAATCATATATTCAGTTTTATTTTTTATTTTGTAAAGACTTTAAAAACATTTTTTATAGAAAAGTTATTTGATTTTATATATTCACATATTTTAGCATGTTTTTATAACCTTTTTACATTATTAAATGATTTTTCTTTAAAATATAAAAATCGAACGTAAAAAAAAGTCATAGAAAACAAATTTGTGAAATTAAATTTCTTAAAAGATATATAAAAACAAAGTTATAAAAATATTTAAAAGAAAAGAACTTTGTTTTAAAAAACAAAAGGGATTTCATAAAAAAATAAACCAGAAAGTTATGAAAACTAATTAGAAATGTAAAGACCCATATCATAATAAAGATAAAGTTTTGATGTAAATTTGGGAAAAAAATTTTGGTTAAATCATGAGTATTATATAAAAGGTACATGTTTTTAATTTATACGCTTATAATAATGAAAATTTTATGATAAAAGAAATAAGTCTCACAATAAATTTAATAGATGAAAAAAATACCAATAAAAGCTAAAAAATATTGAATCTAAAAAACGATATGCATATAATATTTTATGATAGTTTAGGGGTCTTAAATATAAATATTTGAAATGATAAAAGTAAATGTGGGTGATTGAGTGGGGCCACAACCCTATATTTACAAATGGATAGTAAACGACCCTATTTTTACAAAGCAAAATGGGAACAACCCCATTTTTGCAGGATTCATTGAAGGACCTGTGTAGCTTGAACCAACAAGAATCACCACCATAGTTGCCATGGAAAGCATCCAATTCTTCAAGAACAAGCTGTTAGGACCCTTGATGATGATACAACAAAAGTGATAACGAAAGTCAAAACTCCCTCAGCAATGGCTCCAGTATGCAAATCTACTTTTAGAGTAGGTCCTTCTAGCAGATGTTTGTACTTTAATGGCGTCAACTCCAAAAGAGACATCACACCACCAGTTGCACTAATCGCCTGTCAACAATTCAGAAACCAAACACTATTTTTACATGTTTAACACCAACAATCAACAAATACTGATCCAATTATGCACTATTCATAGTTGAATGTAAAAATTTGTTTTCGCAATTTCAACTGTAACCTAACAATTTGGGTAATTGGAAACCCTTAATTCGTCAAAAATCACGACTATGAAAAGTAATTTTTGGTTAAATTACCTGAGCAGGAAAGCGGACGGCGGTGGTGAGTGTATCATCGTCGCCACCGGCACCGGCAATACTAAACGCAATTGTACCGATCGCATTGAAGCTAGCGCCACCGAAGGCATCGACAATCAATCCAAACACGATGGAAGCCAGCCCTCCGACACCCATCGAAAGAAGAACAGAAGAGAAGACTGAAGGTTTGTTGCCGCCTCTTCGAAGTCATCCAACACCGGTAATTGAATGAGGCGGTAATCGATGAAGGTGTATATAAGAAAAGAAATTAGGTTAAAACTGAATGCTAGCGTGATTACAGGGACTATTTGTGGAAGCTATTAATCAAATTACCAAAATACTCTTGTTTATTTATTTAATTTTAATAGGCCCATAGTTTTGCATACGATAACACAATACTTAGTTTAAACAAATGAATATATATATATATATATATATATATATATATATATATATATATATATATATATATATATATATATATATATATATAAAAGTTCAAATGATTAGATGATAAATCATATATTTAGAAAAAGTTATTGTTGCCGAATACAAGTGGAAACACACAACACAAACGCAATCACTCTTTCAAAAGCACAACACAACATGCACGACCAAAACTGACAGACAGACTAAATTTAGTAAGAAGAACCATCATCGCTGGATCTTATAATGGATGTTTCATCTTCAAAAACATGCAAAGATCATCTCATTCACTCGCCTTTAACTGGGACCCCAGATAGTGAAGTAAGTTTGAACACCACTAAGAAAAAGAGCCATCAAAGCTCCTAAAAGTGCTAGAAATGACCATGGGCTCCTGCCGTACTCGTGCTTGAGTTGGGAAAACCATGTGTTCCTCAAGCTTTGATAATGACATTGGATTTGGTATTTTGCTTTCGAATATGCTAGAATGTTTGGCACCAAACCGGTGCCTATTTCGTTGAAGAGTGTCGCAACTTCTTGGTCACTCCCAAGGGAGTTATCAAGGACCCCAGCTTTCCGAAGAGCCTTAACATCCTCTGGGTGATCAATGAGAGAATCGAGGAGGCTTATGTAGGAGGTAACCCATGCATGTGTGTCATTTGAACACATTTCATAGGCTATTAAGTTTAACAACATCGGCTTGGTGGAGTCATCCACGATTATCGGAGGGAGTTTTACATCTGCTGAAAACGACCACCTGCAACACCCTCCAATAAACTCCACATGAGCCAAAGACATAACGTTACTCGGCTTGAATTGGATCCCGACATCTGCAAGCTCGCTGACGTTACGAAAAGTACACCTGGTGATTATTTCATCCTTTCTGGTATTTTTAGGACGACAAGAAAGAATTTGAATCCAGTGGGATTCATTCTTGGGACTTGGTCCTGTAAGCGCAGAATGCAGACGATGGAGCAGATGATCATGTGATTCTCGTCCAGAATTTTGATCAGATTGGATTGAGCCGCTTCGGAAACAGAACCACCGACTTTTCTGGCTTCCCGGTGACAAAATGTTGTCAGCAAAGAACGATCGAATCTTGTCACGCCTATCAAGCTTTATCAAATCCATCACCTCGTTTAGAACTATGTAGGGAATTTGGTTTTCCAGCAAGAACAAATCATGGTGGATAAACACGGCCTGGTGGCTTCTGATCAAGTCGCTACTACTTTCAACTTTCTCGCTACAATTTTCTGCTGTCACCCCATGGATAAATAGAATATAATACAAAATAAAACACCCGTCCAGCAACATCATCCTAGTGAATACCTTATCGGAGAGATGCTCAGTTGAGTTCTCTTCATAGAATTTTCTTAACTCTTTCACCATCTTCGCTTCACCAAGCTTTTTGTACAAGCTGCTGAGGCTCAAATTGACTTCATACTCCGGTCGTGCGAGGAGCTTCTTGGTAAAAACAGGCTTGAGTTTCTCAACTAGCTCGAGCTTAGGCTTGCCATAATGGTATGGACCGATGGAAACAACCTGTGGAACATAGTACTTCTCGTAAATATCGCTCTTCGTGCTCACCAATATCTTTGTGACTCTAGGGATTCTTGCAGATAAAGAAGGTGGTGGCATGGCTTTTACAATCGAGTCGATAACCCATGCCTCATCTTGGTTCTGGATGCTGATAGCCATTTTTGGATTTCGTGGTTTAGTATAAGCAAGTGTTGATGGTCTAGCTGGCTAGGTACATTCATATAAATAGTATTAAATAGCTAGTTACTAAGAGAATCTTGAAAACCACTTTGTTAACAAATGAAGCTAGGAACCAGCTCAGACAAATCTTGCTTTTGAGGTGAAATTTCAATAAATATCTACTTTGAGGACGAGAACGAGAAATGCGTGTAGCTTTTGTTTTTAAGATTAAATAAAAACTAAAAAAAATTATAAATTGGGTGAACATGAAGATCTATTTTATAATTTCGATGATTATATATATATATATATATATATATATATATATATATATATATATATATATATATATATATATATATATAGAGAGAGAGAGAGAGAGAGAGAGAGAGAGAGAGAGGGCCATGGTAAGTATAGTATAGCTATGGAGGGGAACTTGGGTATTCTCCATAGTTTTAATTGAAAAAAGTTGATAATACAATGTTGTAATTGGGTTTAACTTTCATTGAACAATGCCTTGATAAGGAAAAAATTAAGGCAGGAAGATATAGCAAAAAAAATGAAATTTGAATGTGATAATACACGCACAAACAAAAGCAAATCACTAATTCTTGTATTTAGCCCAAGGATCTTCAAGTTTCATTTTACCAATGATAGTTGAGATGTTTCTCTATACTCATAACTCATAAGTAACAAAGTAGCTTGCACCATTATATACCACCGTCACCACCACCACCCACAACCATCATCACCACCATCCACAACCACCTCTTAATAAAATAAAAATAAAAAAGGGAATGTATAATTATATATCCTTAGAAAAAGCTTAATTGTTTAACCTAAAAAAAGGATACATTTTGTCCGGTTCCAAATCTTAATATTTTGGCTTAATTAAGAAGTTTTTTTTTATTTTTATTTTTATTTTTATTTTTATTTATTTTTATTTTTTAAAGAATAGGGCTATTTTCAAAAAATTTTGTAAAAAGGGGTTCATTAAACGGTTTGTAAAAATACGGTTGTGGCACCAATTTGAAGTATTCCTATGAATTTCTAATTACATAAATGATCTTTATACAATATTAAAATTTTCACTTTTATATTATATAAATTTTTAATTACACATTTTTCTTTTACATTCTATTTTCATTTTCTATCTTTACCAACTTTATACATAATATTTTGTTTTATTATAAATGTATTATTAATGTAATATTTTTTAATTATAAATATATTATTAAATTTTATATATAGAACTTACTAATTTATACAATTAAAAATACATTATTAACATCTTCCGTCAATAATAAAATTACATATTACTAAAATTATATAATAAATAAAACATATATTTCACATCATATTTATAACATTAAGAAATCACAAATCAATTCAACATTAAATTACAAAATCAAATAAGCATAAACTTACAAGATCACTAAACTTGAAATTACTAGATCAATAAAATTCATTGCTTACATCGGATTAAACCTTGGTTAAGAATTTGGATAGCATTTTCGATTATCACCTTGTTGGTGGCATGATCCACATCTACAAGGTTCACCGGGATGATGCATGTCCATCTCATTACATATTCGGTTTGCACGCCTTCTACCCCGAGCAACAAAAAGTTTTGAGTAATCCGCTTCAATCGCCCAATTCGAATCCAACCAATAATCAACATGGGGAAGTGGTGCAATACTGGTGCATGTGTTGGAAATAATGGACAATATGTGTAACTGCACCTACTCCATTTATTCGTGGCCTAGTAATGATTATGTATACTCCTTCATTGTAGTAAAACTCAGATAAAGTATGACTTTGTGCGTGAGTGTCACGTTTAACAAAGAGACGCCATATACATTATGGTAGTGGTGTATTGCATTTCAATGCAACATCACCATGCTTTATGAAAAGTCGCACAATTCTATTTTGCCACGAGGAGTCCTTCTTCTATTCGGTATGTCTTATGAAGTGATATTTTCTGTCGATGTTTCTGGATCTACCATGATCCCTTGGTTCCTTGGCTAAGGCAACCACACTTTCGTTGTCACAGAAAATCTCCATAAGCTCCTTTATGGCTGGTACAACTCCTAGGTCTCCGATGAAGTTCTTCAGCCATATCGCCTCCTTCATCGCCTCACTTGCTGCTATGTACTCTGATTCGCACGTTGAATTAGCTACAATCTCCTGCTTGGAAATTTTCTAAGTAATTGCTCCTCAATTCAGGATAAATACCCAGCCCGAATGAGAGTGGAAATTATCTCTGTCGGTCTGAAAGTTGGCATCACTATACCTTGTCACTCTTATGTTATCACTTGCACCGAGGGTAAGGAGCCAATCCTTAGTCCTATGTAGGTACTTAAGAATGTCCTTCACTGCAGTCTAGTGAGCCTTACTAGGATTCCCCTGATATATGTTGACCATCCTCAAAGCAAAGGCCACATCAGGGCGAGTACAAGTCATAACATACATGATCGAGGCAACAGCGGATGCATCTAGTATTCACTCATTTAAGCTATCTCAACCTCTATACTTAGATACTGAGCCTTGTTAAGTCTGGCATTATACTGGATCGGTAAGTCACCTTTCTTGGAATCCTGCATGCTGAACCGTGTCATCACCTTTTCCAAGTAAGTACGTTGACTAAGTCCAATTAGTCTTTTTTCCTATCTCTCAATATCCTTATTCCCACAATATAGGCAGCTTTTCTAAGGTCCTTCATAGTGAAACACTTTCCAAGCCAGTCCTTGACCTCCTACAAGGTCGGGATGTCATTTTCTAAGAGAAGTATGTTGTCTACATACAACACCAAAAAGTTAACTATGCTCCCACTAGCCTTGACATATACATAGGACTCATCCTCGCTTCTCGAAAAGCCAAATTCTTTGACTTTCTCATTGAAACAAAGATTCCATCTGCGAGATGCTTGTTTCAATTCATAAATGGATTTATCAAGCTTACACACTCTATTAGGGTACTTTGCATTGACAAAACCCTCTGGCTGATTCATGTAAACATCCTCAGCCAACTTTCCATTAAGGAAAGTGGTTTTGACATCCATTTGCCATATTTCATAGTCATGAAATGCAGCTATGGCTAGCATAACCCTAATAGAGTTAATCTTCGCTATTTGTAAGAAGGTGTCGTCATAGTTAACTCCCCAAGGTTTGAGTAAAGCCTTTCGCAACCAGTCGTGCCTTATGTGTGTGTACTTTCCCATCCATGTCAGTCTTTTTCTTGAAGATCCATTTGCACCTGACTATCTTACGACCCGGTACATTGTCAACCAAGTTCCAAACTTGATTTTCATACATGGACTGAATCTCGCTGTCCATCACCTCTTTCCATTTGGCAAACTCAGGGCCTACTATCACTGATAAATGTGTCACCCTCAGATGTTATATGGAAACCATATAACACAGGTGGAACACTAACTCTACTGGAACGCCTCAAAGGTACAGACTAATCAACATGAGTTTCCTCCTCATGTTGACCGCTAGTGTTTGAGGTTCCTTCATCGCTTAACTCTTGAAGTTCTACAAGGTCAATTTTCCTCTCACTGTCCTTTTAGAATATGAGTTCCCTCTCTCGGAAAACCCCTCTCCTTGCACGAAGATAACATTATCAATCGATCGATAGAAGAGATAACCAAAGGACTTTTGTAGGTAGCTGATGAAAATACACAGCTCACTGTGAGGTTCGAGCTTGTTGTGAATCTCACGCCTCACGAAAGCCTCGCAACCCCAAACCCTGATGTGTGATAATGATGGAGCTTTCCCTGTCTACGTCTTATGAGATGTTTTGGCAACTTTTTTAGTTGGGACCAGGTTAAGGAAATGGGCGGCAGTCTCTAAAGCATACCCCCAAAATGAGATTGGTAACGAAGCTCGACTCATCATGGAACGAACCATGTCCAACAAGGTTCGGTTATGCATCTCAGCCACAACATTAAGTTGTGGTGTCCTAGGTGGCGTTAACTATGAAACAATTCTACACTCCTTAAGATAGTCTAGGAACTCGTGTAACACCCATAAAATTGAAGTCAAATTTTAACTTTTTAATACATTTTAAAACCATTAAGTTATTACAGTTTGTTTTCAAAATAGTTCAGACATTAGAGTATCCGTAGAATCAATCATGAAAATATGAGGAGGTGCACGATCACGCCTTCGCCTTCCTGCAATCATAATAAAGTGCCTGAAACAACATTAACAACTGTAAGCCCGAAGCTTAGTGAGTTTCCCTAATATACTAACACCATACAAATATAACCATATCATATAAACAATACAGAACAACATGTATAATGAGTCATCATCCTGATTGGACCGCCTTACAGGCCTTCAGTTTATCTGGACTGCTCTCCAAGCCTTCAGCACGTCTGGATCGCCTCGCAGGGCCTACAACTTATCTGGATCGCTCGACGGGCCTTCGGTCTGACTGAATCCATTTGCAGGGCCTTCAGGTTATCCAGACCGCCCTGGGTATGTTGGCTTCCAGCACAAAGCAGGACCGCCTCAACCCAACCCCAAATCAAACAAGCATGTGTACATAAATGTCATACACTTGCATATATATATATATATATATATATATATATATATATATATATATATATATATATATATATATATATATATAATAGTCATATCAATCTAACAGATCACCAATCATAGCAACATCCTATAACTAGGATACCGACCTAACCAGGTCACTAACATAGCATCATCCTATATACCAGGATTATTATATAACAATCATTATAGCATAACAACATCCTATCTACCAAGATACCGATCTAACAAATCATAACAACATATAAGCTTACTATAACAAGGATACCGATCTAACAGATCATGATAACATGATAACACCCTAACTACCAGGTCATTAAACATATCATCATCCCAATTACTAGGATGCAAGTCAATAAGCATTTCATGCAATAAACTCAAATACAAATCCGATAAGGGCCGGCATTGGTGCCTTACACCCTATTG